CCGCCTGCCGCCCGCTCGACTCCCTCCTCTCCTCGCCGCGCCCTCCCACGCCCGCACTCCTCCTCTGTCCTCTCCCTCCCCGAATGCCACCGCTTTCCGCCCCCCTCCGTGCCAAGCAAGCCTCTTTCGTGCTCCGACTCTTCCCCCGCCCAGGCAGCCGGACTCCCTCGCCTCCCTCGCCTCCCTCGCCGCGTTCAACTCCCCCCTTGGCCGCGCTCGCCCGCGTCTGTCCGTGACCTCCCTGGCACGAGCCAGCTCTTTTCCTCCATGCGGGACGCCGCCGTCCGGCCCGGCGTTGTCACGCCCGGCATACTCGTCATGGGGCTCTGCCAAGCCGGCCGCGCTCAGGGCGCTCGACGGAATGCCCGGCCCAAACTCTGCCGTTCGCCCGGCTCGGATGTCGTCATTCATGCTGAACAAGGTCGTGGATGGGATGTGTGAGAGCGGGAGGACTCAGGCGGCCGTTGCGTTCACGGAGGAGGACTGCTGCTTGGCTGATGTTGCGGCCGACGGATCCTGCCGTGCGGGTAATGAGACTGCTGCTTGGCTTTCCAGGCGGCGGAGAGGATGGAGAAGGAGAGCTCTCCTCCACAATAGGAATGTGGTTTTGTTCCATGAGGTGGTGGATGAAGGGCACTCACCAGATGCAGTCATGTATTTTTCCATGATATAGGGATTCTTTAGCAGGAGGAATAGGTGCAAAGTAGGAGATTTCTCAACTGTGGATGAGTTATTGGGGAAGATGATGGATATTGCAAAGTTGGTAAAATGATGAGGCATTGATGATTTTCTGGTCCATGGATGAATCCGGTATTCAGCCCATCACTTTGATTGACTCTCTCTGCAAGAGTGGATATACTCGGTGTATGTGCATGATTTTAATTTTTCATCTTATGTTCTGATGCAGCAAATGCAGAGAGTAGCATACGATGGACGTAATTTTCTGTTGCATCGAAAAGCAAGTTAACTCGGCGTATGCAGTAGCAACTACCAACCATTCATACTGGAGCAAAGGTCCAAGTATAGATTGGACAAGAAGCAGGGTGATGCCCTTTTTTTCTGCCAACGCTGGAAGTGAGGTACCATTTCTGTCAGTTACTCTTTCCTGCAAGATAAACTTTTCACTCTCCCTTACCTGAACAACTGAGTTAGCAGCGACGAATGATTCATTGTCTTAGCAAGCTAGGCACCACAATTTGTCATTGCATTAACTTCGACGAAATAACAAGGCTAAGCTCCAACTGAAACATTTTTACTCTACACTGTAGGCCAAAAGCCCCACAACGGAAAACATTATTTTTTCTCTCCAAGAGAAACATAAGCATTACAATCCGATCCACAACACAACATCAAAGGCTTGCCTGTTCTGAACAGCCAAGCCATTATTTTTTCTCTCTAAGAGGCGTATTACATCGATTGTATATATACACTCTAGTGCTGCTTTTAGCAGCGCAGCCAAAATACAAAGGCTTGTTACAGAGACATACAAGCAAACACGAATAGGTTTCCTTGTGTGGTGGTTCTGCATCAGCCAGCAGCCATTTTCACAAGTCAGCGGCTTCAAGTAGCAGTCTCGTCATCCATGTCAGTAGTTTGCGGCCCGGTGGATGATGGGGAGTAGCTTGCGCTGGGGCTGCATGGCAAAAATTGCAAATGTCAGAACAGCAAATGGATGGTGTGTACTTCCATCACGGCTGGACAGATGAGATTGACTTGATGCATTACCTGTAGTTGGGGGAAGTTGGGCTGTAATCTGGGCTAGGTCCTCCAGAGGTAGTGTGCGGGCTGCAACACTCAGGCAATGCGTTAGGAAACCCATGTCTTGATTGTTACAATAACAGCCAGTGTTTTTTTAAGTTAAAAACAAGGATGCATGATGATCAACTGAAATGGACTCACCTTGTCGGGCTGTACGATGGGCTTGGTTGTGCATATGATGGTGAGGTGGGCGAGTAAGTCGGCGAGGCAGGGCTGGGGAAACAGAGATGTAAGCAGACCAAGCATCAACAGATGAATGAACAGATGCCAAAGCTATCAACAGAATACCTGTAGTTTGGAGGAGCTTGACTGTATG